TTACACTGTCAATAATACCGTCTTCAAACATCCTCATTCCTAAGATAAAGCAACAAACAATTGCAAGGATATAAAACTGGGGTATAGTTTTCATACGAACCTTTGAAGAAAAATCCCAGAGAATTTAATTTAAAATGAATTTCCCAAGTAAATTTCTTATCACAGAACAATTCAATTTTTTTTAAAAAAAGAAATTTGCTGTCATCTGCAAATCATTAAAAAATTAAAACAGACGTACATTCACGAAGTTGAGAGCAGATTAAATTCTGAGAATGTTTCCCAGAATTCATTTCAGAATCTTCTGATCTGCATCTCCGAACTGAAAACGAAGTTTAATATCTGTATACAACATAACAATTTTAACATTTGCTCTGTACGGAAGTAAGACTTGGATCCTCATCGTAAATGTCTCAATTCTTGTGACTTAAACGAGGGTAAGTAACAGGAGAATGACGAAACTTCATAATGAGGAACTTCACAATTTGCAATACTCTCCAAATATTATTACCATAATCAAACAATAAAACTGGTGAGGTGTGTAGCACACACAGAAGACGAGAAATTTATATCAAATTTTAAGATATAAAACCCAAAGGAAATAGACCACACAGATGGAAAAACAATATTAAAACAAATGTTAAATAAATCTGGCTCTGGATACGAACCAATGACAGATTTTTGCGAACACGATAAACAGCGTTCATGACAGGGAATTTCTTAGACTATATGACTAAAAAAAACAGCTTTCTCCATGGAATTAGTTTCATTTTTTGAAAGAGGAAAACATTGTAAAAATAAATAATTATCGCTGTACAACATTTTCTGCAAAAAAAAAACAACTTGGCATATCTCGAACAATCCACGCATTTATCTCGACACTTTACACAAAATGATAATTACTTTTCATTATTCATTCTGTCCAATCGACTCACAAAACAGTTTCTGCTTCTCACATTCAATTAATATCCAAGACTCATCCTACTCTCATCTTTCCAGAAAAGTTTATTTCATATATAACATCACATCCCTGTGTTTGTGGTGTGGGGCCCAATCTTGTCGCCAAATCACACTGGTTATACGCTAGTTCTACAGCATTTCACACGTGACCATTAATGGTAGCCTTGGCTTCGAGCACAAAAAAGTAGTCCATAATGGCGGCCTCGGTAAAAAAAAGTCTGTCTTTGGACACCCTTGCATGTTAAACAACTTGTGGATTCCGCGATCTAATGATAAGATAATAATAATCCACGTTCCATAATACGTGACAGGTAACCTCATCACTGAAAACAATTTTATCCAAAAAACAAATTGCCCTCTACGTATCAGTACAAAAAAATCTCACAGTCATGGCCAATCATCGGACTTTAACTCCTGCAGAAGTAACAAATGCTCTGAAACAAGCCGTGTCGCGATATTACTATTCGTTTGGCCACGATAATCTTCTGAATTTGCATATGTTACTCCAACTTCGCTGTATTAATACGACGTTCAATACGTAAAGCGGACCATCCACGTGCGAGTCTGGCTCGGCGAGCTTGACTCGTGAGCCGGGCTCGGATATATTTCACCACGCATGCGTAGCAGACTCGGCTCGTGACACCCCACCCACAAACGAGTTTGGCTCGTACGTGGATGGGCCACTTAAAATCACCGTTGGAGTTGCTTCTAAAGAGCGTAATAAATTTTCATAGGTAATATAAGTACCATACCTGCATAATAAACCACGCTTATGCAGGATAAAATAAATATTTCATACAAGATTAAAAACTCCTTTAAATTCCTGTAAATCCTTCACTACAAATCCTACATGCCACGGTGAAGATTCCCTAAGGTTTGAATATCTGACTCTGAAATGTGGTTTTCTGGATTCTATGTAACCCTGCACATGGTTATGAATGTTTCAAATGAACATGCCACCTCCAATATCAGGGTAAAAATTTCTAACAGGAAGACAGAGGTAATCTATTACCCTGAGACATCAGCGACCACTTATGAAATCAAAGAGTGAGACAACGCAAAAGACCACAATTCAAAACAAAAACTCTGAAATACTTTACTCATTACACCTCAATTACATTGGTCACATTTATCCGAAGTACAGTTGGCACAAGTGCTCAGGAGAATACGGGTACCCGTAAGGGATAAAATAAGTGTGAACTTAGTGTTTTGAGACGGGTCACCCATTTTTGTTACGAAGATGAAATTTAAATCACAACGGGCAGGACATGCAACTTGCATGTAGAGCTCTTGAAAATGCATACAAAATTTTGGTGTGAAAACATCCTGAGAAGTTCCTTCTGGAAAATATCCACATACCAAAATGGCCTAATGAAAAACTCAATCTCTCCATTTCTATGATGTTCAGATATCACAAGAAAAGACCTCTATTAATTGCAATTACCCATAGAGAAAGTATTACAAATAAAAATTAACACTTTATTTTTTTCGCTAAATCTGAGACTATGGACGAGAAAGTCAAATGTGGTCCAGTCCAGATTTGGTTTAATGAGTATCATAACAGCCTGAAAGCAGTCGTCAATATCGTGCCCAAATTAATTATTAATGTTACATTAAGATTACTGGACAATATATACAGCACGTGCAATTAGTGTGAATAATCCATTGGTAATGTTGTGATGCCCCACTTAATGGTGCCTGCACCTTGTCGTGGTCGTGGGGCTCGAGTACCTCGGTAACCCCAAGAGCTACTGGTAGGGCCTCCCTAGCCAGATTGGTCGAGCGGGAGAGGTCAGACTAGAACAGGTACCCTGGTCCTCCAGGTTGGGGGTTGGTCGCAAGGCTAACAACCTTGCACC